TACACGACATCCAAGCACACGAAAAGGAGGTTAGGACAAGTAAAATGACAAGCACATGTATGCACGCGGAAGCCTGTCACCGTCGGAATGTCGGTAATATGGGATCCCTTGTTTATTATACAACAGCCATGGCAAGCGCAGTGGCCGCATCGTCCAAGATAGTGGTGGGATTTTGAAAAGTAATAAAGTCTTCACACCGGCCCATGCATAGACACCCATGTCTGGAGCCGAGATCAATCTCTTGAAAAACCATCCACTAGGTTTCTCCATAATCGGTGTTTTAGCAAAAATAAATTACTAATTACTATTTGCTTAATCTTTGTTCACTTCACCCACGTCTCATGACTGTCTGTCGAATAATTGTTGTTCAATTTACGCTATTTTTTGTCCAATTTTTTAAGGTCCAATTACTAATTGAATCCATTTCATGGTTGATGTTATTGGGCTCCCACAATTAGCTTAGGCATGATTCGTACCCATAAAAAAAATATATACAATCGAACGAAGAAAGAGAATTTTCGTCTAGGTCCAGTTCGAAAATTTATCAGATCTTTGGTCCGATTACATCTTCTAGAGGATTGGAGAAATCCATGTGAATGTCTCACTCCAAACGAGGAATGATTGGAAAGTACCAAACCGGTTATATTCACATTATTACTAACATAAGCTGTTTATTATTAGTCAAGTGAAAAGGATTGGATAAGGAGAAAGAACAACATATTTCATATTTGAGAAGCCCTTTGATATTTTTATTCACGGGAATTTTGGAAAACGTATTATCGAGTGGACCTAGACACCGCATGGATTTCCTCCGGGACCTCCATACGTGAAGTAGACACCGACATTAAGGTTATCATATCCAACATAGTCTAGACCATAACATTGGTCGCTGTCTACCAACTTTTTCAATGGAAACATGTCTGCTCTATCCAACGAATAATCATTTCCCATGATTTGAAGGTTATTGAAAAACCCCGAATGATAAGGATCGTCATATTTTGGTCGATTGCCGTTACCCATGGGTGGGCTCGGAGAATTCGGAGGAGCGCTGACCATGCCGGAGAATCCAACCATTTGAGCGCCGTCGCCGATTAGGTTAAACAGTTCCTTTCTTAGTATTTCTGTCCCCTTCGCTCAACCATTTCACTCGAGATTTTTGCCGATAAAATGTTTCTTCAGCCATTATCATCTGCAACCATCGAGATGTCGGTTTTACTTGCAGTTGTTGCAATGTCGTTTTCTTTTGTAGAGTTTAGGATCAAGGATACTGATCTTTTTCTTCCCTATTGATCAAGTTTTTTTCTCCAACAATTAAACCACAAAGATTTTGTTAAATACACCATAGATTTTGATGATATAGAATCAGAATGTTATATATATATATATATATAAGACCATGTTCATCATCCAGGGTTGCTGAGAAGACATCTCTAAGAGAGAGGCCCAAAACGACCACGTTTTAGTCGAATCGGTTGTGTTGCGAAGGTCCGTACAGCCGACCTGTGGGTTTTGCTCTCGCGAACGTGCTTTCCAGACGGGGTGGTCTCTCTCTCTCTTAACGTCGTTAGATACAGAACTGCGCGTGTCGATATGCACAGTCGCACCTGTGCTTAACCGGGAGCTGAAAAGCGAACCGATCTGGTTTTCTCACCGAGGCTCTAACTCTAAAGACGCAGGGGCAAAAACATCACGATAATGTCTACAGAAGCATATACCAACGAATTACGTTTGCCCAATAATCTGATTCAGAAGTTTTGTCTGTGCTTTATTCACAGAAGTTGCAAAAATAAATCTCGATTTTTATAAAATTCTACAAGAGTAAAACAACATCAAAATAACAAAACATAAGATTCTGCAGTTGATTTATCATTGTAAAATTTCTTTGTTCACACCAAAACTCACAAGAGAAGAGGATCTCCTTCATCACTGATGCTAACTTTCTCTTGTCGATTTCTGTGATTAGATTCACCAGAAAGAATCTCGAACAAGATCACGACAACTTTCTCGAAAGGTTCTTCAAACCGCTTCCTACACACTTCAGTATCACGGTTCCTGTCGACGGATCGGGTTTTATCACAAACTTGACCCCCAAAAAGTCTCTTATGTTCCTCAATGTCTCGACTCCGTATGGAGACAATGTCCCTACCGATACATCTTGCGGGCATAGTGCACATAGTATACACAACAGACCCTGTCACAAAAATCGAGTTTCGGGATAAAAGCTTAACAAAATCACCCGTGCAGGGGATTGCGAATCAATGTCATCCGCAAGTATGGGAAGAGAATTTTCCGAAAGGGTCGCTCACCTGGTGTGTTGAATCGATAACTCCGCCTTTTTCAATCTCCTGAAGAAGCCAGGACGCTATTTGCACGCCCGTGTCCTCCGCAGGCATTCTTTCTTTCTTCTCTGCTTCAAGTTCACCCGTTTCATCTACTCTTCCACAAGAGACCGCAGTATCAGCAGAGATGTAGCACCCAGAGGTGGTTTCTGCTACCAATGATATCCCATAACCCGGGGATCTGCAATATGGGTAATGGGTTAATGATTTCGTGAGCCAGACAACAAGAAGTCCAGTGGTGTTTTTTTGACACGTAGTTTCCAAAAATGTAAGTCTTACTTTCCAGCCTGTGGACCAGCTTTGTGATCGGAGAATATGTGAACATCGGGAAGCAGGTTGTTAAAGATTCCACGGGCTGCATATCTCATAGAATGTTCAAAGTCAGCAGAAACTTTTGTGGAGAAAGTTACACCTCGTATCCTCTTAACCATTCCTTCATCCATCCACTGTACCGCCTGGGGGGAGGAAAAGAAAACACATAAGATGTCTGATACACAGTAAACCGCAAACGAAAGTAATAAAAAATGCCCGACACATTCATCTCACAGTTAGACTCTGAACGTTAGGGACTGTTAAGACAACTTCTCCACCCCCTTCTGGTGCTACTCCACGTGCTTCTATCTTTAGATCCAACCCTTCAGCAGGATGTGTAACGTGGTAGAACGAAATGTATCGATGCTTGGGTCCCTTGGATCATTTGTAATTCCTGCATAACAAAAATCACCTTGCTTGACCATAATATTCTGCATGCCCTAAGCCGTAAATCTACTTTGTTTACTCAACAAGAATTCATAGAATTTCTAAAATTTCATGAGTAGAAGATTTAATGTCAATAAACTGCTGTTCACTTCCAAAGTTAAGATAATCCCAAGTGTGGCTTTTGCTCCTCGCACCTAAAAACATTGCCTTTCTCATCTGGGTTTATCCTGACTCTAGATGTTAACGTGTTCAAGCCCAAAGTAAACTATTGATGTTGATACACATGAGAAATGATTCACCTTTGAGTCTTATCGAAAGGGGCTTCTTTCCAAATAACCCCAACACAAGCAATGGCTCCAAAAAATAGCCGATAGATCGATTCAGCCCACAGTTATGAACCAAGTTCTTTCCTCCCATTATAATCCCAGGCTTGTACTTTAGTTTGGTTCCTGCAAGAGATATTGCAGTATTAATTCCAGAAGCAAATTAACGCTCAAAAGAAGCGTATCCGTTGCAAAGCCTAGACCTGAATCCATAGTCTTCTACTTGAATTTTTCACTATCTCTTCTGCTTTTAGAACAATCAGCATGCGAATTATCAATCAAATAGACTGAATGTTACAACACTTCAGTGTTGAAGATCTAAACTCCAGCAACGGTGGTCGAATACAAGCACATTCGGCATATCGATACTCCATCAGAATCATCTCCAAGACTCCAAAATTCACAATTCAAGCCCCGGAATAAGTCGAGCAATTCAAACTCCATGAAGAAAACAAAATGCCAATAAACCCTAAACCTTAAAACTTCAATCAATCACTGTCTCTATAAGTTTACCGAGAACACGCAGAAGTTAGCGAATTTGTGATCTCTCCGGTAGATAAAAAAAATAACTCAACCAAGAAAACTTCCATACGAATCTCAACACCCAAATCATCGAGCAAGCTTACCAGTTTCGTTAATCTCGACGACGCAGTCATCGGAAACAGTCTCGAAGAGACGAAGAAGAGAAATCTCGTGTGGACGGAGACCGGGAATCATATCGTCGGCACGAATCTCTTCGATGATTATCGGAGTCGAAGAAAGCGTCGCCAGAAGCAGCCTCTGCCTCATGCTTTGGCTTCCCTTTAATCGCATATACGTCGTCTTCCCCATTCTCTCTCTCTGTCGCTAGGGTTTCTGTCCCTTAAACCCTACTAATTGCCTTTCCTCGGTGCCATCCTGCATCTCGGAATGAAGTTTTAATCGACGTCTTTTGGTTGGGCTTCAACTTCGTTTAAGGCCCAACTTAAGAATATTCACACGTTTCTCTTCGCAAATCCTTTTGGAACTCCTTCAACCTTGAAGAGTCTGAACCTTCAAGACAAATATTTCTGGGAGACTTCAATTCTACAATATCATTGGAGGAAACAGTTGGATATTCTTCGGATAGATTAGTGGGTTCAAAAGACTTCAATGATTGGATTTTTAGGAATTCTCTGATAGATATGGGTTTTGAGGGATCCTAGTTTACACGAGGAAGGAAAAATGGACCGAATAATTGGAAGATGGCCAGATTGGATAGGGGATTATGCACTGAAGACGGGAGGTTTGCTTTTCCCAATGCAAAAATTGTGCATCCACCAAAAATACACTTCGATCATACTCCCCTAGTCTTATTCCTTGAGGAGGAACAAGTAAGGCGTACCCAAAATTTCATGTTCCAGTTGGCGTGGTTCCAACACCCAAAATTCAGACCGCCTTCTGAGGGTAGTTGGCCACAATTGTCTCCGGATCTTATAGAAGAGCTTAAAAGACCATTTACCAAAGAAGATGTTTTCACAGCATTAAATGGGATATCACCTTATAAAGCGCCAGGAATTGATGGGTATCAAGCTGCGTTTTATCAAAAAACGTGGGAAGTCGTAGGAGATGATGTTGCCGGATTTGTTATTTCTGTTTTAGAGGGGGCTCAAATCCCGGATAGACTGAACGAGACCCTGGTGGTATTAATCCCAAAGGTTGAAAATCCCGAACTCCCATCCCAGTTTAGACCCATTAGCTTATGTAATGTCTTATATAAGCTAATCACGAAAACTATGGTCAATAGAATGAAAAAGAGCTTGCAGTTCTTAGTTGGACCTGAACAAAGTAGTTTTATTCCTGGAAGACAGATTGTTGATAATGTTGTCATTTATCAGGAAGCAATTCACACGATGTATAAGATGAAAGGTTTAAAGGGATATATGGCTATTAAGATTGATTTGGAAAAGGCGTACGACAGACTTGACTGGCGCTTCGTTCAGTGGGCCCTAGAAGTAGGGAACTTCCCTAACTTGTGGGTGTCAAATATAATGAAATGTGTTTGCTCATCGTCAACGTCGATCTTGTGGAATGGCGATAAGCTTCAACATTTTCAACCAAGTCGTGGAGTAAGACAAGGTGATAGTTTATCTCTTTATCTCTTTGTGTTTTGCATTGAACACTTGGCTCATCTGATTCGAAGCTCAGTGATGAAAGACGAATGGAAGTCGTTACCTATTTGTCGGAAAGGTCCATTAATCTCCTATCTGATGTTTGCTGATGACATGATACTGTTTGCCGAAGCTTCTGTGGTACAAGCAAATACCATTAAGAATATCATGGATCTGTTTGGAAGAATCTCGGGCCAAAAAGTAAATTTCAACAAGTCATCTATTTTCGTCTCTCATAATACAGATCCGAATATAGCCTCCCAAATATCTAGTGTGATGGGTATACCTCTTGTGGAAGATCTTGGGAGATATCTCGGAATTCCATCACTTCATGGAAGGGTCAACAGCTCCATTCATAGATATGTGTTGGATAAAATGCGTGCGAGACTGGCAGGTTGGAAAGCTAATTCATTATCAAGGGCTGGAAGGATCACACTCACTAAGTCTGTGTTGAATGCTATACCGATATATCCTATGCAACTTAACGTCATTCCAGTTTCTTTGATCAAAGAAATGGAACGAATATGTCGTGATTTTATTTGGCACGGAACTTCAGGAGAGCGTAAACTACACTTGATCAACTGGGATATTATTAAAAGACGTAGAGAAGAAGGAGGATTAGGGATTCGAGATCTGAGAAGTATGAACCATGCATTACTGGGAAAACTGGGATGGAGAATAATGCAAAATCCAACAACACTATGGGCTCGGTGTTTGCTCCAAAAGTACTCATCAGGCAAGGTAAGCTCATATACCACTAGAAAATCTAATAGTTCACCGGTTTGGAAAGCAGTGATGCATGGATTGATGCTAGTTAGACAAGGAGAATTGGTGGATATGCAAAATGGCCACAGTACCAAGTTTTGGTTAGATGAATGGCTACCGATAGGTCCTCTTGTCAATTATGCCACGACGTCGATTGATGATATAGTGAAACAATATTGTATTAGAAGATATTGGATACCAGGGCAAGGCTGGAATTTTGATGAACTGTTGGTTGTACTTCCAGGCGATATTATCGATTTAATTAGACCTTTCTACTTGTCAGATGATGATATGAATTTAGATCGCAAAGCCTGGAAAGGGAATCCTAACGGAAAGTATTCTGTGAAATCAGGGTATGATTTACTGAGGACAAATATTGGATCTTTATCACCAATATGGAAGTCAATATGGAGGATCAAAACTCTTGAAAGGATCAAGATGTTCATTTGGGAAGCCACACACAAAAAAATTATGTGTAACTTTGAGAGAAAGAAGAAGCATCTTATTAATGATGATATTTGCGTGGTATGCAAAAGAGCTACAGAAGACGTAATGCACGTGCTACGCGATTGTATTCATGCTAACCAAGTTTGGGATGGTCTTAATGTACTAGCATTCTTCCCAAATTTTTATAGCATTCGTAGCGTAGAGAATTGGATCTTACAGAATCTAAGCCTTTCTATGCAGCAGATAAATGGAGTCAATTGGGATACTATATTTGGATTTGCAGTGTGGTATATATGGAAAAATCGAAATGCTTGTGTATTTAAATCGCCATCTATGACTGTTGTGAGTTTAATAACTTCAGTGGTTTCCAATGCGACAGTCGCAAATGGCATGGTCATCCATGACTCAACAAGGGGAACAAAGAAGTCATGTACTAAAGTTCATAGTATGGAATCCGAAAATTGTTGATGGAGTTGTGGTCAATACAGATGGCAGTGGAGCAAGTCGCCTAAGAAAAGCAGGATGTGCAGGAGTTTTTCGAACAATTTCAGGTGATTGGATTGGTGGATATCAACAAAAGCTAGGTGATTGTGATGCCATGGAGGCCGAAGTTTGGGGCATCTACCATGCATTGGAACAAGGGTGGCGACATGGGTGGAAGAAGATGGAATACAAACTGATTCTTGAAAGCGATCGAAGTTTTAACGCGGGATATAGAGCTACCTTTTCGTTTGAGGAATCTGATCAACAAATGCAGATCACTTTTGAAGAATGATTGGGAAGTGAACATTCGAAAGATCTTCCGTGAGGCAAATATGTGTTCAGATTTCTTGGCTAAGAAAGCTTCTTCGGGGTCTAACGGTTTTATATGGTTAGATACACCTCCACGAGAGTTAGAAAATTTTTAATTAGCTGATACGATGGGTATCATGAGATCATGGAGAATGTAAATGGGTTAAATCCCTCCTTTGTATTAAAAAAAAGGAATCGGAAAAAAAATTATTTTTTTAAACCGAAAGAATATTTATTAAAACAAAAAATAACATACAAATTGTAGCCGAGTGGTCAAATAAGATATAGATTATTGTCAATATGTCACACCCTCCAAACTTTTGTTATTTAAATTTCTTCTTTCTTAAGTTTTTATAGCATATTTAGTTAACCTTCAAAATTTTAATTGATTTTTAAAAAAATTTAAAAAAATCTTTTAAGACGGTCATATTACTTATTGGGCATTATATAAAAAATACTCTTACTTTGTTATTTTTACTTTAACACATATCATTCTCCAACTGTGACCATATGATCCATATGACACGAAATATAGTGTGGTCATATTTTTTATTTTATTGATTATAGCGTTAAATTTATGATAATCACACTAATTCATTATATTTATACATTGTATATTTTATTAATCATTCGATTAAAACATTATAAATTTAACGTTTATAGTTATAAACAATGAGATCAACATGTGATCACACTATATTTCGGATCACATGGGTCACATGGTCACAGCGGAAGAAGTATATGTGTTGAAGTCAAAATAGCAAAGTAAGAGTATTTTTTATAATGTCCCTATTTATTTTTATGTATTGTCAATATAAAATTTATTTATTTTATCCACTTAATACATAAAATTATTCATTTGGTAAATTACCAATGGTAATCATATATCCGTACATGCATTTTATTACATAATATTTGATATTCGTTCAATATGTGTTTATAAAATATATTTACTCTAATTTGATTTTTTTTACTAGACAAACAACAGAAATACCGTAAGCTCCGCCTAATCTTGATATATCAAACATAATACGAAACCTACTAAACCCCAAAAATTATGAAATACGTACTAACGCATGTTTATTAAGAATAAATAAAAGGGAAATTTTTTTTAATTCAAATTAATGACTCAAGTAAAAGTAGTTATGTATATATAATAGACAATGGAATAGGTATCTATACAAAAGAATATATACAACATGAAATGCATTCAAGTGTGTTAGTTTGTGGCGTTTAAAGCAAAAGAAAATAACAATAATTAATATCAATTATAAACTGATAATTAAAGAAATAAAAGATAAAGAAACTCTAAATTGGATGTGCATATAAATGACTATAATTTATTTATACATTGTGACTGGTCATTATATTCACCACTAAAACGAATTAATAAACATGATAAAACAATAGATTTAGATTGGACGTAAAATATAATAATGTTGGGTATCGAATGATTTGGTCGGAGAATGAAAGCATCATGTTTACAAGGGAACAAGAAGACATAAGCACGACAAATCACAGAACACAAAAACAAATTATAAAAAAAAATACTCTTACCAAAAAAAATATAAAAAATAAAATTATAAGAAAATATATGATTTTTAAAATTTGGATGAAAAAGTGACGTCTCTTTCATGAAAAGTGGACAACCGGATCCGACTCAAGGCAAAGCCCGACCCGATCTTTGTCGTCCTCGTCCGTACGTTTTCTCGGTTCCCTTTTTTAATTTTGCATTTAGGTCAATAATTTTACCATTCTTACACATTCGCCCCATAACTTTTAATAATGTTAGTAAGTAAAGTAAGCTTATAAAGTTTTGAATAGAAACAACTTTGTGAGGCTTTGTTCTATAATTACTTTAAAAAAATTGATTTGCTTAATTTTTTTGGTCGTCTTGAATTGCATAGTGGACCAACTTTTGTTTTCCAACTATACAAACACCTA